CTCCTGGCCCGGCCGTGGGGCTGGAGGCCTCGGCGCCTGAGGCGTTGGTGTGGCGTGCGGGGATCCAAGGCCTGTTGTCAGTGTGGCACTGATCCACCCGCCTGTCTGTGGGCCGGTCTGCTCAGGCAGCTCGTCTGGTTCAGCCTGAGGAACGGCAGGACGGGGTCAACAGTCACCCTCATGGCGACTGGCCCGTTCTTGACGTGACGTGATATTCACCAGATAGCAACGAGATACAGCCGTGACACAGGAGGCGATTGGCCGTCGCTCTCTAGCAACCAGCAGCGAACTGCTGTTGTCGTTAGTGTGTTTTCTGGGAGGCTGTTGCAGGTGATTGCATCACATGAAGTGGATTTGTTTCCTCATAGAGTACTCTGCTGAAAGCCAGCTCATAGCCCCCTTAAAAGTGCTGCAACTTTATAAACTGCCCAGTGGCTGTTATATCACAGCAAAGTTATTTTTGCAACAGTTTGGATGGGCTAAGTTCAGTTACTTCTGAGGAAAGGTTCTACAAACAGTTTTCACAGACTTAGAATTGCTGTATTAATTTGTGCTTTAATGTGAGAATTTCCATATCTGACAAAGTAAACAACTGATCAATATTGTGTACATGTTTTTGCCTTAGGACTTCTCCACGACTGCTTTGTGTAGCAACACAACAGAAAAATACTGGGCAGAACTTGGAAGAGGACCCGAGTCAGAGCCAAAATGAGCAGAAAGTTGAACCCAGCTCTGCTGAAAAAATGTTAGCTGAAGAAAAGAGCAAACTGGAAGAACAACTTAAAGAAGTTACTGTAAGTGTCTTTTGGTCATCAGGTTGCATACTTCACAAATTGCATACCTAAAAGTGTTTATTACAGGTTCTCGGGGCACAGTCTGGATACGTTTGCGTGGCTGCTGTTTAGTTGTTGAATAAAAACCTGCAACTCAGCAACGTCTTTAAACTTAAGAGTAGATGTGACATGCATCCCTGGTCCAGTGTTAAGATTTTGGATAGTTTCTTTCCGATTTCTGGATTAAATTTGTCCTTCTCCAGCCTGAAAATTTGTTACTGAGTTTCAGAGACTTCAGTTCACTTAGATTTTATCCAGTGAAGTAATTTTTGGAAGCCCAGGGAAGATTGTGAGTGTGTCTGTGATGTGTGTGCCAAGAGTAGGCTTTCTGAAAACGGCTGCTGACTTTTCAAAGGTCGAGGTTAATGATGCTTAGCTTTTATATAATAGTGTACTTATTACGTAGGAAGGGGATGTTTCAAACTTGCTGTGTTGGAGAGCCTTCCAAACACAAGGCTGAAGCCTCGCCTTTGGCTGGCTGGCTCAAGGTATCTTGCGTTCTGCCCTGTGTGTGACTTAAGCAGAGGGTGAAGGATACCCTGAGAGGTCAGAGGCGTGGATTAAACAGGGGTGTTGCTTTTCTGGAGGAGTGCTTTATATGAAATGTCTTTCTAGGGCATTTGAGACTTTGAGAGGTAGCCCAGAACCTTCTGTAGGAGCAGCCCCTATGGATCATACATGGATTTCGTTTCCTTCCCGTTGCCCTTCCCAAAGCACTGAAGGACAAAGCTGAGATGTCAGTTAACATCTCTGCTGACAGCATTTGCTACTGGCTACCTAATGGGGCTCTTCAGTCAACTCATGGACTATTTTTGGCCTGTTTTGAGATTCTTCACTAGCATGTGAAAGTCAAACATAGTCAAAGTAGAAGCCCAGCGTGGAGTTTGGGTTTGGGTGCTGAAGCACTCACCCTGAAGTGCATAAGTTTATTGAATTTCATTCTTGGTGCATCTGCTGCTAGGTGTCCATATTGCTAGGAACGGGCCCAGACTTAACCCAAACAACAGAGGAATTAGACTTCATAGTCTGAAAAATAATGGAGGATGCTCTGTGGTATGTTTGGAGAGGGAAGAGATGGTTTGAAAGTCACGGCTGGGTTGAATCTCATTTCTGTCTGTGCTAAAGCGAGGCAAACATCTGCCTTGCTAGGAGGGATGCTGTGATCATTGGCACGTTGTCTTCAGATTACTCTTCAGACGGTGGGTTTTGGCTATGTAGCTGTTTAAAATGCTGGTTTACACTGAATGTGCTGGTTTGAGTTATTGTCAGCTGCCCAACCACCAGGAATGAAATCTCCTGTGTTGATTTTTCTCTCTAGGACAAATACAAGCGTGCCCTGGCAGATGCAGAGAACGTGAGGCAGAGGAGCCAGAAGCTGGTGGAGGAGGCGAAGCTGTACGGTTAGTGGGGGCTCCTCTGTCCCAGCTCCCTGAGCCAGGAAGATGGGGCCGCCTGGCCCGCAGCTCTGCTGGGCTGCACCTCCCAGTGACTCCTCCTGCTCAGAACGTGCCTGAGGCAGAGGCTGGAACAGATCCTGGCTTTGCAGGGGAACTGTACTCGTCCTCTCGGTAGACAAGGGCAAGGATTGAACTGCTACAGTCAAAAACTGAAATGTTCTTTAAATTTGATATCTGATTTCCTGCAGTATGTACCACACTGGTAGATTTTGCAGTAAGGTTTGCAGCCTGAAGTTTACCTTTTTCAGGCACTTTGGTCTCGGAACTGACTGCAAAAAAAAGCTGAACCAAGAGCATGGAATACTAGCTTTCCTGCTGGTTAGGATTGGTTTTTTTCTTGGTGTTTCTTTTGGGTTTAGTTTTTGGAGTGGTGTTTTTTGTTTTGTTTTGTTTTTAGCCTTTTCTAGTTGAATAACTTTTCTGTTGTGTTGAAAGCCAGAGCTTTCAAATTGAAATAATACATTCTAGAGGTGTGGATTCTTTTCAGTGGTAGGAATGTACAACCACTGGCTACAGGAGTGCTAGAAACACATCTTTGTTGGAGAGCTGGGCTGCTGGCGTCTGATTTAGCTCTTCTGACAGTCCAAACACAAATCTGTGAAACAGATTAATTTCTGAGATGCATAAATTTACAGAGAGTTGCAGAGATGATGTACAAAAAAACCAAAACAAACCACTTTCTGAAGAGTTTGGTTATTGTTTGATCTGTATCACTAGACAGTGGGTTAATCAGTGTTGGGAACACTCCTGCACTAAACTAAATCCACAGTTTTAGTTTTAATTTAAAACCTTGATTCACTTGGTGATATTTTTGGAACTACTTGGACACTATAAAGTGCTGGAGTCTCTATGGAGTTGTGCAGTTAAGGTGACCCTTTCCTGAGCACTACACTAGCTGATCCCTACTTGCTAGATACTTCCATCGTTTTCTTTTTTTAAACTGAAGTCTTGTCCCCTAGTAATGCTCATATCACTTCTTTGTAAGGAAAAAAGCATCCAAATTGTGAGCTAGAATTAGAAGGCTGTCTGTGGCTTAAAAAAAAAAAGCGAAGCTACCAAAATGTGGCGTGGTTTGTCATTGGCTTACCTCTAGGTAGAAATGTGTTATTCTTCTGAATTGTTTTGAATTTTTCATGATTTCTAGAGACAGTTTTCCTTGCATGAAATTAGTCCAGACTCTTTCAGCATGAGTCAGAGAATAGCTGCAGGACACAGACTGTCCTTAGCTCGGGAACTGCTCAACCTTACGAGGCACTGCTGCTGACGCTGTGGAAGTGGTGTGTAGTGGGAAGGAGAGGTTTGAATTCTTTTCATGCAAGGAAGAATCCCTGTTCATCTTTTGGACTCCTCATCCATCTGACTACCTGCTTTTTCTTATGCATATGTTTTTTGCACATCAGGTGAAATACTGGGAATTGGGCAACGTGATGCTCTGAAGTTGAGGAGAATTGCAGGATGAGAGAGACACAAGGGAATTGCATTAAGCCATCTGATGGTTTTGGTGACTTCAGTTACAATTTTAGCTGTTAATGTCATGTGATCAGCATAGCTTTAACTTTTGAGTTGAAACACTGTTTTTTTCCATAGACCTCTAGGAGGTGGTGGGGATTCAAGGTATCTGTAATAGTCCTGTATCGTCAAGTAAAATTGGAGAGGACATTTTACCCCAGATGTCTCCAAATAACAAGATACAGTACGATGCATCTTGTTAAAAGAGTACAGATTATTGCTATGGGGTTTTGAGGTTGTGGGTTGGTTTGGGGTGTTTTTTTAGCGCTTGTTTCCCCCAGTGGACTGATCGCATTGCCTTCCCTTTTATTTCTTCTTAGGGATTCAGAGCTTCTGTAAGGATTTACTAGAAGTTGCAGACATTTTGGAGAAAGCGACAGAAAGCGTTCCAAAAGAAGAAATTAAGGATGACAACCCTCACTTGAAGAGCTTATACGAAGGTCTTGTTATGACAGAAGTACAGATGCAGAAAGTGTTTAAAAAACACGGCCTGCTGAGACTGAACCCTGTGGGAGCCAGGTTCGACCCCTACGAGCACGAGGCGCTGTTCCACGCGCCCGCGGCCGGGCGGGAGCCCGGCACCGTCGCCCTGGTGTCCAAGGTGGGCTACAAGCTGCACGGGCGCACGCTGCGGCCGGCCCTGGTGGGCGTCGCCAAGGACGCCTAGCTGCCCAGCCTCAGTCTGAAATGCCATACAACTATTACACGCCTGGATGGGTTTTCTCTTACTCCGTGCTTTCCTCATTCCTCTGCCCCTCAGAGGTTTAAACAAATTGGCTGAGGTCTCCCAGTGAAAATGAAGCAACGGATGAAATTCTCCTGCTTAGTGGCCTTCAACATCACTGTTCCGTAAGCTTTCTTCTTAAGTGTGAAAGGCAAGAGCCATTAAGCCTGCTAATGCTTTAGATTAGGTCACATTTTTTACAATTATTGCTTCCAAAGGTACGTTCAGTTGAAAGGAACCAATTTTGCAAGCTCACGTTTATCACTAGGTGTAGATTGAGAATCCAAATAGAGGTTCAAAAGCTTCCTTTTGTTTTGTAGAATCAGACATTGCAGAAGTGGCTGAAGTAGCATAAATGGCCCGTTTTCTGCAGGCATCCATCAGCTTTCACACACTGATGGGATAAATACCCTTTTTTTGTCTATTCAGAAATCTCTCTCAAGAACTGAAATGGAAAGCTTTGTGAATTGTGACCTGTAAATAAAAGACAACGGAGAGTAGATATCTTTGTAATTGTTCAGCCCTTTTTGTTCTTTACTAACGTTGACTCAAGAAAACCATCTAATACTTGTATGGCATTGAAGAACCAATAGAATTTATCCTATCTCTGGATTTTTAATTTAATATTGTATAAATTGGTTTAAACAATTTTGATAGTCTAACAACTTCCAAGCTTTACAGTCGGTTTGTTATGCAAACTGTAGTTACAGCCCTGCTGAAAGCCAGAGTACCCAAAGAAATGAGTAGCTGAGAGTTTGATATATACTGTCTTTTAAAATTACATAAATAATTGCGTGTAAGTGGCTCAAACAAAAAATGTGAACATAGTTTCATCTTCACGTGTTGCATTTACTCATCTTGGATCTTAGAACAGAAGTGTCCCCTATAGACTCTTGCCATGTCTAACTCCGCCTGCTGCTCCTGGTCCTGCAGAACCAGGCTAGAACACAATACACAAGTAACTGATTGCTCTTTGTCCTGCATCTGTCTGGTCACCTGGATGGGAGTGGATGGAGCTTGTACCCAGCTGACAAAGCGTCTGTTCTGGGGGCCTCAGAGCATGCACACATTTAACACACAGCACAGGAAATTCAGACTTACATATGCTACTAGGACCTGGTAAACAGCAAGTACGGTGGAGTTTTTCCACCCTCATTTCTGGTTGTCTCAAAGCAAGAAGCTCCTTGGTACAAGATCAGGTATTGATTTTTTTGGTTCAGATGCAGCATTGCCAACAACTTACTGAACACCTGACCTGTTTGTGCGGGGAAGCTATTACTTGTTCTTTAAGACTTTTTTCCCAGTGCCTGTTTGCCTTGGGGATCAGACAGTTAACTAGGGACACCCTAAGTGCATGCTGCTGTTTGGGGGTTAGTCATGTTTAAAAGTCCGTTCAATCTTGCTTTGACTGGGCCTGGGAAGGAGAATAATTTTTGGTATGTGTGAGAAGACAACTACGGTGTTATTTTTTTAAAAGAAATTAAGTATCTCTGATCAAAACGCAGAGGATTGAGTGTAAAACTACCGGGGGGGGAGGCGGAGGAAGGGGAGACTCCATATACTTAATTTGAATTTGGAAGCAACTTCCTCCCATTTGGGTTAGACGTTACAGTAGCTGTGTGGAGTAGGATTGAAGAAAGAGTTGAACTGCACGTGGATTGAAACCTTTCTCAGCTGATAAGGCATAAAGGGACCAGGGGAGCATGGCTGATCCATGTACCTTTTAAGAACTGTAATCGGTTCTCCCCCCGCCCCAGCCTTCTGCACCTAAACTAAATCTAATAATTTCACTAGTACAGAAGTTTTTCCAGTAGGACAATTAAAACAAAAGGACAACTTCTTCCCTAGTAGATGTAAGATTGTTGTTAATGAGCTTCCTGAGTGCCTCACATAAACTGTCTATTTTGGACTACATTACTCCATTCAGTCTTGAACACAGGTTACTGCTCAACATTCAGCACAAGACTCAGACCAGCATCTTTGAAGCTGGTAACCAACTGCCCCATTTCAGTGGTTCCTTTTCCTTGGCCTGCCCTTTCAGAGAGGCTTCCAGGATGGAGAGCTCCAGACTATACTGAGAGCTCAAACCACCTGGGCGCTGCCATACAACAGTAAGAAGCACTAAAGAACAGAAAGAGGCGGTTCTGAAATTTAAGTCTAAGAGCAGCCAACACAGCTATCATCAGCACCTCGGGTGTAGCCATTTCATAAGGACCACCTCTCCACCCATCACCCCTTCCCTAAAACACATCTCCATTGGGTACTGCAGACCTGAGCCCTCTTCCTCATGCAAGCTACATGACCATTAAATCAATAACGGAAAGAAACTTTAATACAAGTTTATTTACCAATGTACAATGCAAAAAAACTAGTGAAATGCTGAGTGTGCACAACATCCGTTAGGTTTCACATGATTTGGGCACAGGCATGTGTGTGTCTGGCACAGCTGCACCAGCCCACTGCTCAAAGGAGTGCAACATTCCCTTCCAGGATGCCGCCGGTGAGCTGAACCCGCTCACCAGGTGCCCTCCTTCACAGTATCTCGTGTCGTCGCTTAAGAGCAACTGGGGCACGTGCAAAAACGTTTTGCAAGAAGAGCTGGTGAACAGAGGCTGGCCAAGGCCGTTACTGTTGCAAGGAAGTTTGATGCAGCCGTTACACACGAAAGTAATGGCAGAGTGCTTATTTTGTGTGATTTACAAGGCAGTTCATGGTCAAAGACTCGTGCAAACCTGCTGACGCTGTTCTTAATGCTTGCTGGGACTGCAACAGAACGTAGGGCAGGAGGCTCTGCGTCCAGAAGGGTCTGGAACAAGCCCTTCTGCGCAGGGCAGCGCAGGGGACAGAGGCGAATGCTCCCCTGTTCCCTAGTGAGCAAACTCTACTGTGAAACGGCACCGGGACCACGCTGACTGAAGGAAACCAACAGCACGAAAACAGACTTACTGCTGCCTCCATCAGTATTTTGAACAACTTGTGGAGTGTCACTTTTTCATAGGCTTACAGCAATGCTGTTAGGACAGATACTATCACTAGTAATAGCTTTAATGAGGAAAGTCAAGAGCGTGAAGCGTATAAAACACCTTGTCACAGCAACGTGAAGGGTGGGTGATTGGTACAGTACAGGAAGCACTTCCAGGGCAGCACAAGAGACAGGTTCAGGAGCTCTTTGCCACGTTTCCTCTCGGCCCCTCATCACAGGAGGGATGCAGCATGGCGCTAGTAAACTGCTGGATTAAGGTAACTGCATCTCGGTTTAAACAAACAAACAGCAGCTCATAACAAAGGAATGCTTAGACTAAATCAGCTCCACCTGAAAGCATGGAACAGCAGCATCCTCTAGTGCAAGTCACCTTTAAAATTAAAAGCATAGCTGGACAATGAGACATTGCTTCTAGGGAAGCCCTTTGCAAGGGACCAGTATTTGCTAAAGCAAACATTTACCACCTTGAATTTGCTTGCAAGTATAAAATAAATATTGATATCCATATTTCATACATTAAAAATACTTTATTTTACATTCATTTTGATGTTCAATAAGTTATTTCTAGCACCAAAGAAACATTTTGGAGGGGCTGAGGAATAAGAAACTACAAAGTGTAAATGCAGAGTTCAACATTTACGAAACTCATTGGTGCCTAGATTATTTTTTTTTAAGTTATTGTTCAGATGGGTTTTAGGCTATTGCTTTAGTTAGACTTGGATATGCCAGAACAGTGTAGAAATATAACAATGATAGGATTTGAGAAAAAAAAAAATAATTTAAACCCCCCACTATTATCTTAAATTCCCCACTACACAGAGTGGAGGCTCCAGAACACGATCAGTAATGCTGTGTTATGGCAGTTAGGTAGCAAGTTACAGGAAGAACCAAATTGCATAACTAGAATTCCTCAATGAGAGGCCAAGCTTCCTTTCCACAGGAGCAGGGCAGAGAAAATCACCACGGGTTTACACCTCATGAACTTGTGTGCTGTTTGTACAGGCGTGTGGGTGGAAGTGGTTCTTAAAGCGACTCGGCACGCTGCAGTTAGTTTGCCACTGCCACGGGGAGACAGTTTTGTCTCAAGTGTTCCACAACAAGCCACCTGCAGGTAAGCCAAACAAAATCTTACATCCAAGAGGACATAGCCCTTACCTTTTCTGAAGGGACATAACATCACAAGCTCAAAAGGAAAAAAGGCACTAGAGTTTTGTTTTTTTCTTCCTTAGGAATGCTGGCTTTGTAATTTTACCCCTTTTACTCTAAACTCTCTGGTAACACTATTTTAGTAATGCTGGATGTATTAACAAAAGCCCAGTTCTGATCAGTAGACCTCGGCCAAGCTGCAGAACTAATACTGGTTTAGGATTCCACGGTATCCTCACTGACTACAGCCCAAAGCATTCAACCAAGATGACATTCCCAGTGCTCGCGCTTGTTCTGAAGCCAGTCACATTCCATGTTCTGGCACCCCTGCACTCCTGAAGAGCTGCCCAGCTGGCCTCCAGTCCCAGCTCCCTGCTCTGGACAGAGCCAGTCGAGAGGCTTGGGCACAAGCAACGTGCCGCCTTCCACGGGGCAACCACCAGTTTTTATTCATTTGGTTAAATACCAACATGCAAACTGAAGCATGAAATGAGCATAAAAGTCCTTTCCTAGTTCTCCTTCATCATCCTTGCCTTGATCAGTAGATCTTACTAAACGAGTGCTGTGGATCTGGCATTCTGTTACATGCCGTGTTATGTGGCCAGTGGGTGCCTGTGGCAAGTGTCCAGTTCAAACTGGCCGCTGGGAGCTGTGAGGTGCCACCCCTCTGGGCTCCCAACTGCTGCAAGACAACTTGCTGCCTGTTTTCCCAAACCCCATTTCTGTCCCAAACCAGCCACTTCACAGCAGCGCTGCCCCTCCTGCGAAGCAGAGCACCACAGCTGCCCTGGACCACAATTTCGCCACTGGTCAGTTAACACTGGAGCTTCAGTGGGGTCCGTCTGGCACAGACTCAAGCCAAAGCCACCTCCG